ATGGTGAGTTTTTACTAGAAAGAAAATCCATCCATTTTTCTTGGGTATTCATGTGATAGTTTTTTGATAATTTTTATTCATAATAGGAATAAAATTGTGAATATTCCTCAAAGAGAATTTCTGCATCTATGTTTGGTATTTTATAATTACTAATAATTTTTTGTAATTGTTCAAATTCTGGACATTATTTTAATGTCATAGGGCTAAGATATTTCCATAAATTATCTATAATATTATAACGTTTTTCTACATATTCTATAATATTTTTTTAAAATATCTTTGATTCATTTTTGAAATTATTTGCCTTTTCTACATCATTATTATGTTGCTCCCATAAAAATTTTGTTGAATTTTTAAATTTAATGAATTCTTTAGTTTTAGGATAATATCATGTATATATATTGCTAATACATCTTCAGATTGCAATTGTAAATTTATGTTATTGACTAAAGTGCCAACGTTAAAGACAACACCTAAATATTCTGCAAAATCATCTCCAAAAATTATTTTCAAAATTGGTGGGGTTGCTGATAATGATAAAAAATATTCTTTAAGGGGTTGAAAATACTTAAGCATCCGCTTAATCTCTGGGATTAATGTAAGCCAGCGTGTTGAACATGGCGAAGTGATTCTCACCATTCTAAATTGCACCATTCTACCAATTCTTTTAAAATTGTAACTCTTTTTGTCGAGTTGCTAAATTCATGATAGCATTTAATTACTATACTCTCAATGTCATATTTAAGAAAAATTATGGCCTTTTTAAACGAATTGTAATGTGGCATATACAACCCATTGGTATAATATTATTACTATGGCTTTTCAATTCTGTCCAAATACCTTAATTTTTCCCAAAGTTTACAGATGCGCTATCTGCACAACAGGTCGTTAAATTAGCAATATCAAGTTCCGCAAATTTTAAATTTTCTAGCAAGCATCTAGATATGTCTTTAGGGGGTTTCACTGTCAGCCGAAAAATAATTATTCCATTTTAAGTAATAAGGGAAATGTTTTTATATTACCTTTATTCTATGCATCCATTAGTATTGAAAACGGATGATTGTTTTTTAGAACTTTTATAATATTTGCCCTTAATTTATTTCATTTAAAATTTTACGAGTTTTAATATAAGATTTATAAAATCCATAAAAGAAATGTATAGTTATTTAAATTCATATTATAATTATACTTGATAAACTTTCTAAAAATTGAATTTCTGTTGTGGGTAATTGCTCAATGAATATGATTGGTTAGTTGGACTAATAACAAATACTACAATTTTTAAATATTTTAAAATAAAAATAATATAAAATTTTATATTTGTTTTTAAATAAAAACGTTAGAAAAAGTGTGAGACTAAGTGTGATTATTTAAATTTACTCAAAAAACGTGAGAAAAGCGTGAAGTGTGAGAAAACGTGGGTAAGTAAAAAATTAGGTATGAAATCGTGAGAATCACAGCTAAATCGTGACATCTGGCAACCCTGGCTGCGACTGATAACTGAAATTATTGTACACCAAGAATAATTAATTTTATACGAAATAGAGGTAATTTTTTTTTCTCGGAAATTTACTTTCTTATTTTAAAATTGGCAAATTTCTTTGTAAAATATTTTAATTTAAATAAAAACAAATTTATATAGTAAAATAAAGTCTATTTCATCGATGATATAAGAGATAATTTTTGTTAAATTTTTCCTTCTATTTTTTTAAAAATATTTATTTATTCACTTTAAATATTTATTTATTCACTTTAAATATAATGTATAATATATTTTCACAAATTACTCTCTTACGTTTACAAATTAATTTTTCAAAATTAATTTTTATAAAAAGGTTTATTTCCAAACAAAAAATAAAATATAATTTAAATCTAAAATATGAATAATACTTCAATGATCATCTTGGGAATGTTGGTTATCGTGTGTTTTTTTTGTATCAACTCCGGTAAAAAAAAATTTTAAATTATATTTTAATATTTTAAATTTTAATTGATATATTATTTTGTATTAATTATTTTGGCATAAGATATACTATTTAATCATCTGAAAAATTTTTTAAAAAAAATCTTTTATGAAAAATATTTACGATGGGATTGATTTGAGCAATGAAAAAAATGGAAAAGAAAAAAGCACATATATGAACACCTAGTGGTTTAAACTGCTCTATAATTCTAAGTCGGCTTCCTAGCCTGTGGCGAATTTCTTTCTCCACTACTTCTTCATTAAGATAATATTTGACTATTTAAAATATTAGTTTATATAGGAATTAATGATATATTCTGATTTTAGCCAGTGCGCTTTACTCCCACTTTTTTATAGGCCTCTAGATTTGGGTTTATCCTTATTAAATATATTTGAACCCTACACCTATATTTTTGATGATTTAACAAGTATAATAATAAATTTTTTTTCTATTGGATTTATGATACAAAATAATTTTCTATGATTGTTTACAACTGTGCCAAGTTGACTATTAATACAACCAACCCAAAAATTATGAAGATGATAGTGGTATCACACCTTTTTTATCATTTTATTTCTTTACTCAACATAGCGGTAGGGAATTATAGTAATTAATAATATTCGAATAAAATTTAATTCTACAATGAATTTGAATCTATAACCTAATATTGCTCAAATTCTTATAATATCCTTAAAATTTTGTAATTCTCATGTCCACTCTTTCGTTCCAACCAGATCAAAGTTCAATTACTGTTTAGCCATAAGTCCTTAAGTTTATGTCCTTGCTCAGACTTTTAAGACCTATATAGTGACATTTTACATTTAAGTACATAGGCTTGAGCAGGATTTTGGAGCAAGCAGCACTAGTAGGTTGATCCTCACCATTTTGTTAAAGATTTTAGGTTCACTCATTGCAGGCCTTTGGCTATGTTAATATTTTTCTAAAAATAATTATGGGCTTTCATTTTTTAAAATATTTAATGCTTCCGGAGTATTTAAATTTAAAAAAAAATTATTAATTTTCACTTACCATTATTTATAGTGATAAATAGAATATCATTTTGGGGAGAGGGAGGGCAAGGATATCTAAGTAATAAAAATTTTATTAGATTATAAAATGATATTTAGGACAAATTCCTGAAGAATCATGGAGGCAAACTTCCCATCTCCCTTCCTATTTGATACACACCTATTGTTACATCCTAACAAACAAAAATATATGTAAAATCAAAAATAATATTAAATTGATACCAAAAGAAATTTCGTAAAACAATCCAAATTGTCTTTTTAAAAAGTTAATATTTTAAAGCGTTTTTCGGGGATGAGAACCTAAACCCTGAACTCTCGATATTTCGCTGAACTCAAACCCGAACCCTTTTTAAAATTTAGGGTTCAGGGTCCAAAAAAAATATATTTTATTTATTTAAAATTTCATTTAATTTATTTTAGATTGAATTGGAGTCACCTTATCATGCCACCACACTTTATCACTATGACATTTTATCAACGGCATCGCTTTATCACGAGGACATTTATCACGACTAACACTCAGTCACTTTATTACGCGTCATTTTATCTTTCGACACTTTATCAAAACGATATCGTGATAAAGTATCGTATGATAAAGTGTCGTCTGATAAAGTGTCGCCTGATAAAGTGTAATGTGATAAAATGTGGCAAGGCTTTTTAAATTATATGTTAAAAATAATATAATATAAAAAACATGTAATTTAAGATTTTCATTTATAAAAGATTTCCTATTTAAAAAAAAACAGAGTTCCCATTTAAAAGAATTATTTTTTTATTTATTAAAAAACAAAATATTAATTTAATATAAAATCATTTTTTGATAATTTTTTCGTGAAATCATTTTTGTTATATTTAAGAGTAGGCCATTTTTCGTAAAATATTTTAAATTTTACCCAGCAAAGCAGATTTTAAAAGTTCTTTTTTTTATTAATGATGATAATATATAATAAAAATATATATTATAGGATATTGTTGTTTGTTGATTATTAAATCGATAGTGAGTGAGACAAAGAGAAGTATAAAATCACGTGGTAAAATATTTTTTTTAAAAAATGTAAGTTGCAAATTATCGAATATAATTTAGATTAAATAAAAAAAAAATATATAAAAATGGTGGCTATTTATTTATAAAGTAAATTTAATAATCAAATATTATGTCATATTTAAATTATAATCAAAATAAGGTACATCTAGTAGCCATTTTGTAATTGCAAATTTAATTAAGATAGTTTTATTTAAATAATTATGAGGATTCGGAATCTCTTGATTTTAAATCCTTTACCGAGGGCGATTTAAAAAATTAAAAATCTGATTTAACCGGAAATGTATTGTAGCATGTGTAGACTATTTACCCTATAAATTTCAGCCAATTTTAGCCACACATATTTTAGTAATTTTTTAATTTATATGAAAAATCCATATAAAAATTAATATATGTGATATCTAAATTATAATTGAAACAAAGGCAAAATATGAATCTATTTTGTAATTACCAAATTAAGTTTAGTTTTATTTAAATTTAAATATTTGTTAAAAAATTAAATCTGTGGGATGAAAATCAAGGATTTATTAGGCGAATATTTCAAATTTAATGATAAGGGAGATTCTGAATGTAGAATATGTGATGTAGTAGGTTTGGTCGCAGCATGGCACGATAAACTATTAAAATATTCAAAAAATTAATATATTATTTAATGAAAAAATAAGTTAGAAGTTTTAACACTTGAGAAGCGAAGAGAAGAGAAAAGAGAAGAGACTTTCTTTCATTCTTTCTTTCTAATGATATGCCTAGGTTACCCTGCATTCACATCTAAACAAATTCCCTGGCGAAGTGTGAACTAGAATTTCTATCTGCAGTATTTGTCTTGTGAATGCAGGGTTAAACTAAGTTTTTTTTTGTCATGATTAAAATTGGAGTATATCTTCGTTTGGCATAATTGATAATTTTATCGCATTGAAATACTCAAATATTTGTAAGGTTAAAATAATACTTTTATGCTAAATATAGAACAAAACTCGAACACGGGGGAGACAGAAATCAGATGGGAACCTTATGGGAATTGCACGGGTTTTGAAATTCCTTTCCTAAGGATGAAATGCAAATCTGTCAATATGTAAATATACGATAGTTATTATTGTGTAACATTTAATATAATTTTTTAATTATACTCGATTCAAGTTATATTCTTAGTATTCTGAGTTATTTACGGCCAGATGGTTGCCAATCAATCTCTAGTCTCCAGTAGTCAAATACTTTTATCAATCATTATTTAGTATTAAAAAAATAAATATCTTTTTTAACATGTTATAAACTAAATGAGGAAATAAATAGATTATATTGTGGCTCCATTGTAATAACGGCTAACTCAATATTTTGATCAGAAAACTATTAACCAAGCCTGAAGATTTTGGTCCCAGATGTGGCACAAAGTTTTGGGCATCTTTTAACTAAATCTCTAAGTCTAGGACAATATTTTTACGGCTAAAATTTTGAGTCAGCCGTTTTAAAGATCGGCTCAAATCTAGCCGTTTAAAAACACGAATTGTGCCCCACACATTCAAAGTATATTTCTTTTTACAACTATTTATTTGGCCAATTCGAAATAAGATAAAATAGCCCTATCCCAGAACGAGCCTATGCACATATTTAGTTTTTTAGGTAAAAATCTTGAGATTTGTCTTCAAATTGGATAAACATGAGAGCACATTTTGATAAAAATAATAATACTACTTCACTAACTAGTAACTTGCGGTATCGCGTCATTACAGAGAAACTTTTACAGAGAAAACAATTATAGAGAAACTTTTACAGAGAAAACCATTATAGAGAATGTCGTTTATAGAGAATTATTTTATAGAGAATTATTTTATAGAGAATGTATTTTATAGAGAATGTATTTTACAGAGAATTTTTATAGAGAAAACAATTATAGAGAATGTCGTTTACAGAGAATGATTTTATAGAGAATGATTTTATAGAGAAAGTTTTTATAGAGAATGATTTTATAGAGAATGTATTTAATAATTTTATAAAAAATGTTATAAATTTTTTTTGTAAATTTGTGTGCTCTACATAGTCAAAGTGGGAAAAAAATTATATGAATCTACTAAATAAGAGCATAGCATTATACATTCGAAATATCAAATAAATATTTATTCATAATAAATTTAAATAAACATAGTATAAATATTATACCAATATATAAAAATACTATTATATGATTAAATTAAACATTTAAATTTATATTGTGGGATAAAGCCTTTAAATAATCCAGCATAGTTCTTGAATAAAAATCTTCAACAATTAGAAAAATCCTTTTGGATCTTTCGCGATATTCTTTCTTTGACAGCGGGGCCATTAATCCTAAAGAGTATTGTTCCAATTTGTAACAATTCAGGCTATCTTCGTCTTTGAGAGCTAAAAATGGAAAAGTTTTTAAAATTTTTAATATAATATAATTACTAACTCTTTATAAATTTCCAGATCGTTGGATGATGGGAACTTATATGAGACGAAAAACTTCGATGCCAGCCTTCTACTGAATTATTGGTATTCGGTTCACCAGCTAGTGTTGATTCGTAGCAATTCCATAGAGAAATGCTAAATATTGGCGACCTCCTCTCCATAGCTATCATTTTTCCAATCCACGTCTCTTCAAAGTATTCTATCAAGGGGGCGAGAATATCCCTATTTTCTTGATAGAATTCAGAGGCACATAATTCCTCGAATCCATGAATTACATCCTCCACTGGTACATATGCCAGTGACATTAACATTTTTATGTACATAGCAAAATTTGTTTGCGTTTTATATGCATTGCAAATTAATGAATTTTTTTGAACAGTGCGCCATATGCATTGCGACATATGAAACAGGCACCCGCTGATCGCAGTCAGTGGAAACGACTGTTTAAAAGCAGATAAGGCTGCTAATTCAAAGTCGATCATGATGAATTTAGGATTTAAAAAAATTTGGAAATTTTTTATTTGATTGAAAATATTAAGGTAATATTGTTGGCGACGTGATGTCATCAGGACATAAATAGCTGGGATAATGGTTTTATGTTTCATCCCGTGGATGGTGTATATTTGCTGGAAGAGAGGAGGACATGTCTTGAATGTGCCATCTGCATACCATTTATCACATGTTGATAAAAATTTTAAATTTTTTATGGTTGAAAATATGAGGCATCGGTGATCATGATGACCACTATCATATAACAAAAATTGTTCATCATTATTGGATAATTGATATTCAATAGGTATGACCAAGTCAATCAGGCTTAAGGGAATGGCAGGCGCTCTTCCTACTTGGCGTCTTTTTCTTTGAATTGTCCTTTTAATTAAGGAACAACTAGGCATTTTCCCAATGGCGGCTATAGATATATTGCTAGATATATCGGCCATTATATTATTGGGCAGAGATTGGGTACTAGAAGCCTCTTGTTTGATTTTATTCATCTCTTTTCTTGCTTCAATATCAGCAATTTCTGGTACATGATTATGTTTTTTATTGTGGAATATAGGTTTTTCGTTCTTAGTTCGGGTGCGTCGATTGTAATAATTTTCTTACAATAAAAACTGCCCAATAATTCGCTTATATAAGATAATTTTAATATTTAATAATATTTCATATAATTTTTTTCCCCCTTTGACTATGCAGAGCACATAAATTTACAAAAAAATTTATAACATTTTTTATAAATTATTCATATTTAAAAATTTTTTTTTATAAAATAATCATATTCTTTAAATAAATTTTTTTTTTTTATAAAATAATCATATTCTTTAAATAAAATTTTTTATAAAATAATTCTCTATAAAATACATTCTCTATAAAATCATTCTCTGTAAAATCATTCTCTGTAAACGACATTCTCTATAATTGTTTTCTCAATAAAATAATTCTCTATAATTGTTTTCTCAATAAAATAATTCTCTATAAAATAATTCTCTATAAACGACTTTCTCTATAAATGTTTTCTCTATAAGTGCATTCTCTATTATTGTTTTCTCTATAAAGGTTTCTCTGTAAAATACATTCTCTGTAATGGTTTCTCTGTAATGACGTGGAACCGTAACTTGCCCATATACGAGTGTTATTAAATGAATTTAGATATTTTTTAATTTAAAAAAATTTTGCAAAATTGTTATATTATGCAAGCCTTAAGATTTAATTAAGAGATATCAATGTCCAGGTTTGCGTAAAAAATTTTTTAATTAAATATTGGGCTGGCCAATTGAGATGATTGACAGGACTGACCCATACCCACTTATCTTTAAAAAAATGATTTTCGAATTTTATTTGAAAGATAAAATATATATTTATTCCTTCACATATTCTAATTTATACATAATTTTGATGTAAATAAGGTTTGATTGCCATGACGAGGCGGATAGATTCTTCAAATGTAATAGAGTAAGTACCATTTTGATATATTTTTTAATGATTTAATCCGTATATAAATAAAACAACATATTTTTCACGTTATTATTTTTTTTTGACAAAATCAATGTCATAATAATACCTAGACTGACGAATGCATCCATTAAAAATGCATCAACGAACAGCTGGGAAGGCCATTTTAATTATCCATATTATTATTAAAAATTTTAAACGAGAGGCTAATTTATGAATTGCTTGATCATCGAGATAACAAAGCGAGTTATCAATTTAATAATAGTTTTTAACATAAATAATTACTATATGGGTTACCAAAATGGTGGGTTAAGCTGATATAAAATCAACGACGCTTTCAAATGCATTATTATGAATGGATCGTCAGTCTAGGTATTATTATTATTATATGTCATTGGAAAACATTTACAGGAAACAGAGACTTATTATTAATTATAAATTGGCCCCACCTATCCCCAAAAAATGGAAAACAATTATGTCATTTATGCATAAGTTAACGATTTATTAAAATAATGACCATAATAGAAATTAAAAAGGATAATTGTATATATATATCCCTATTCCTTTCTTAAGTAAATTTGGGATTCGCCAGTGAAGTCTTCTATCTAATTTAAATATTCCTTGTTAACCATATATAAGGAAAGGTTATTACGGAGGGACGAATTACTTATATGCAATTAATAGTTACAATTAAGACTTTCTTTCTTTTCTTTTTTTGACCTCACTCCTATCTTAATTATATATAAAAATATTTGATTAACCTTTAGACTGGGTCTGAGATATCATCACAAAGTGCTAATGATAACAGATGCAATGAAATTGCCACGAATCTTAGCGATAATAGATTATATGCTTATGTTAAAGGTATATATATATATACATATTTTATTTTTTAAAAACTTTTCTTTCTGAATAATAAAAATGTATAAATCATGTATATATTGTATTTAGATGGACATTCGTGCCAACTAAAATGTAAAACGGAGAATGTAAACCCTATATATCCAGAAAGGGAGTTTGTGCTAGATGGCACGGTGCTCTTTAATAACACCCTATGCATAGAGAAAAGAGTCCATGAATCATTCCGGTAAACAAATAATTATATAACATTTATAATTGGTAGAAAGGTTCAGACATATATTAACGAAATCTCGAGGCTTAGGCAATATTTTTCTGACTAAAATATTGTGTTAGTCGTTTTAAAAAATAGGCTCAAAAAAAGCCGTTTGACAACACTTCTCAAAGCTTTTCTTTTTCCAGTCCGCCCTTGACTATCTATCTTATAGATTTTCTGGCATTGGTAAATTAGGCCGATACAATATTTAATTGAAAACAATTTTAATTCGATTTTATTTTTCCCTAAAAATTGTGCATTTTTTAAATACAAGGACGATCTTAAAACAAACTCAATATAATTCTTAGTAGTCTCGACGCGGCCAGCGAGTTTGCGAGTCAGACGAATAAATTTTTGGACCGGGCAAGGACAAATTATGCTAAAAAAATTTATGTTATGATAATATATAATATTATTTTAAAAAATTACAAACAAATTTATATTTTTTTTTTCCTTCATAAAAAAAATTAATTTGTTCAAAAATATATTTTAAGTATCGGATAAAAATAAAATTATGTCCAGGCTAAACTTGATAAATTTTCTTCGGGTCAGTTAAGCTTGGCCGGTTTACACCGACCTCTAATACTAATATTACAATATATATTTATCTATTTTATCGATTATTAGTGATGGAGAAGAAATAGTTTGTATGGAAAGCTACCAAATGTATTGAATAGAAAGAAAACAATTATAAAAATTAACTTTTCAAATAAATATGGGTTATTTACAATTCTTTTAGAAAAAATATATATAATAATGTAATTTTTACATATTGCCTTTTTTGGGAATTATTAACATGTTAAATTTGTTATATTGTATTTTAACTGGCAACATATCATTTCAAACTAGAAATAGTTTCTAACGAAAGCTAAATATTAGAAAAATTATAATCAACTTAAAAATGTTATTTACGGTGCTTTAAAAAAAGATTTTTATATATTACTCTTTTTGCGAATAATTAAATATTAAACTAATTATATAGTATTGTAATTTATCATTTCAAACTAGAAATAGTTTCTAAAGAAAGTTTCCAAATATACTGAACAGAAAGAAAAATCATAATTTTACTTTTCAAATAAATGGGTGATTTACGGTTCTTTTTTTTTAAAAAAGGGTTTAATAATGTAATTTTTATATTGGGAAATAATTAACACAATAAAATCTTATCCTAAAGCGTAGCTATTTTATTATGTATATATATATATACCATATTCAAACACAACACCTTTGGATCAACAGGACTATCTATTGCTAAAACTGAATCATATTAATAAATACCTTTAGTATAAACGCAGATTTGTTCTCAATAACTTTATCATTTCATAACTTGTAGTATCAATTTTCAAATTTTCCCGAATATCAAAAAAATGTTCAAATAATTTTTAAAATCATATATTTTACATAATCTAAATATTATTCATTACATAATTTGTATTTTGTAACTAAATATAAAATAAATTTATCTACCTAAGAATATCATTTTTTTTAATAGTTGTTCTTTAACTTTTTTCAGCGACCTGCAGGCCACGGGTCAGGCTGTATTTTAATTTTTAAATATACCCGCGCCGATCCAAAAAAAAATTTGAAAAATAAAATCCGAGCGGCCGTGGTATACCTCTGTAGGTCGATTTTTATATAAAAAATTTTAGGACTTTTTAAAAGTATGATATTTGTTTTCATATTAAACTAAAATTTTAACAACAATTTGAAATAATTTCCAGATGTGTATAATTTTGTTTAAAATAATAACTCATCACTAGGAAATTACGCAAATGAAAAGTATCGTAGTTAATTTTTTTGAGGAAATGTAACGCCATTTATTACTTGTTTCAAAAAGTTAACGAGTAAACGCGTTAATTTGATTTTGAGTGTAACTATAACGCAAAACGTTATTTCGTTGCTTTAAATTTTTTTCTTAAAAATATGGAGAAAAAATATATTAATGTATATGTTTTTTAAAATTTTAAGATAATATAAGCCGAGTTTTTAATTTAGATCAATAAAATGGATTTATATATATAATATTGAATATATGAGCGCATAATTATAATTTATATTAAAATGTAAAAAAAATTTAAATTACAATAAAGACATGTGGATGTTATAAAGCGAGGAAAAAAAAATTAAGTAGAAAGGGTCTAGGTTTGCTTTATGGCTAGTAGATTTCCAATGAAGCTGATGTAATTTCGATTTAAGGATAGCTATGGCCAATCTTTGTCAAAGAATAAACCCCTCTTGTCTTGAGCTTCTCCTGAGAGTTAGCTGATTTGTGAACTTAAATTTTTTTTGAAGAATGCTAGGAAAAGTTTGCCGAAGGTGGAAAGTGTGGTTGAAGTGATAGGAATGCAACAATAGTCATTAGAAATTTCTGTGTTTTTGGAGATTTTAAGTTGTTCCTTCTGGTCTATAATGTTGAGGACTTGGTTAGATGGGGTCAGAATAATCATAAACAAATATTTGCCTCCCCTCTACGGAATTTGAGTGAACCTGTCCGGTTACCGTCTGATCTAAAAAGACCCAGGGATTCTAATATGGATGGTATTTGAGCTGATTTCAAGGCATGTTGTATGATTGAATTATATTGCTTATGTCTAATAAAATTTTTTAAATTAAATTCTGTTTGAATATCTTATCTAAAAACTCTATGATAATAAGCTTTCCTCTTATATCTACTTTCATGGCTTTTATTAATTTAATTTAACTATTCTTCTAATATTCGCAGATCTAAACGATTTATCTTATATATATTCTATTACCTTGCATTTTAATTTAAAATCAATCTTTTCAAGAATAATAAGCTTAAGATGGAAAATCCCATGAAGTTGGGAAATAGGAAATTCAGAATTTCTCTCTATATATTCCAATTTCTATAACCTGAAACCTATACTAATTTTGGTTATAGCTTATATTATGAAAGCATTATGGCTTTTGAAGCAGCTAAAAATTATTATCCAGAGCTATTAAATTAAGATTTAACTTAATAAAATTATATTAGGTTTTGAAGACTCATGGTTTAAAAACTTAACCTAAAATTCTTTAAGTATTGTTGGTCGCTATTCAAAATTAAAAGTTAAAAAATACTAAATATTATATTTCATCTTCAATCATTGACAGATTAATAAGCAGGGTAAGAGAGATAAGTGCTTCAATAATTATCATAATTAATGTATAGAAGAAAAATTAGATGAAGAAGTTCTTAATGCCTAGAGTTACAGTGAAACAGTAGGATAAAAAACAGAGCTAGATTTTTCCCCTGGAAAAACGAGTGATGTGTTCAAGTAATAGAAATTCCACTTGTCAATAAAATAATTCTATTTAAAAAAAGGAGTGTCAAAAAATAGACTCCTATAAAACAATTATTACCGATTTAAGAGTCGGGGGAAAGTCTAAAGTTCAAATAAGCTTTTGAAACGATAGAGAATCCTAATCTCTTAGAGATTGTAAATCGTATTTCCATGGACATAGAAGATTCGCGTTGCAGGTCTTTACCTCATATATAAAAATTAATTATTATAGTAATGGTTGCGGAAAAATAAGATTACCAAACGTCTTTCATGTGATGGCTAATAAAGCTGTTATAGCTCATAAAGCTGATAGAGATCCTAGCTGAGGCCAAAATGAGGAATTAATATTCTATAAAGGATTAATATTAGAAGTTAGAAGATTTTAACATATAAAGAGATGAGAGACATATAAACATGTTTGAATAAAGGATATACTATATGTATAAGAATATGCCCTGTAAATAGGCTGACACTCTCAGAGATAGTTTTAGGGGTCAAATTAATAAGGATATAAGCTCGATTAAAAATAAAAATGGGGATAGCAGTGTAGGAAATCCCTAAGAGATAATCATAGAGATAGGTTTTTTTTTGAAAAAACTAATTGAAATTGTGAACAATGAAAGAGATAATATAAAAATATTTAAGGTTCTTGAAGTGATTGGAAATGTGTATGAAAAAAGCTTAAAAATATTATGACAAAATAGATGAAAAATACATTAGTTTTTTATAGGTATCCCGATAGGGCGTAGAGTGATAAATGTAGTAATAAATTTATTACCCCCAATAAGAATTCCCAGCGATGTGGAGGCTTAAAATTGCTAAATCTATAGAGGGTGAAGGATACCCGTTTATAGAAGACAAAGGTGGATAGAAGGCTCAGTCAGTGGCACAGCCTGATTATGTTATACTATTTGTTAATATAAGAATTATACTTCAGGTAGAAGCCAAAAAGAGATATCATTTATTCGTGGAAAAATCATATCAAGAGATTTGAGTATTAATAAAATTTACAACCAAATAGGTATAATAGCAAAAAAAATTATAATTAAGTCATGGGAGGTGATAATTATATGAAATCTTAATCCAGAATTAATGAGTGAAGAGGAGTGAGATAACTCAATTCGAATAATTATTCTTAAGGAGGTCCATAAAAATACAGCAACCCAAATATAAAATATAGAATACCAAAATCTTTATGTGAGGTAGATGTAATTCCTCGTAAATTCCAAATAAAGTAAATGGAACGAATGAAATGAAAGAAGTGAACACATATAGGGGTTCGGGGGTGGGTGGGGGGGTTAAGAAGAGGAATAGGAAAAGAATGTGGCTGGGGGTGGAACAGGCAACGCTGGCACCTCTGGCCTTCAGAGTGTCTATCGTGGCAGATTTTATGCCCAAAACTTAATATTTTGATAAACCTATTTTGGTCTTTAGATTTGGTCCTTTTCGAGTTTGTG